GGGGGTGGGTGGGGTGCGTGAGGGGAGTGTGGGGGGTGTTAATATGGCATCCAGTCATTTAAACTATAAAAGTAAATATTTTGAAGATAGTCAGAAATGTCTCCTGAAGGACTTAATAAACAGGCCACTTTATGAAATGATGGAAGGAACCACATTCTCTGAGTAGATACAAGAGAGAGTATAGAAAAGAGTATCAGTGCTAGCTATATATTGTTTTCAGATACAATTCAGTAATACTATTGTGCTATATGGAGCAGGATCAGTCAGTACAGTGCATTCCAGAAACCCCACCCTTGAGTATGATAGGCAAGTGATGTACTTTGGAGCTACATATCTAACTCCATATTAAGCTTTGATAAGTAGGTCATGGTGTGTGAGATCATATATAAGTATTTGTTTGGCATGACCTTCCTTCAGGAAAAGATACAGAACTCACTGTGTAAGTTGAAGAGAGCAAAAACAGACACAAATTAAATATATATATGTAAATGTACACAATGCATACACCATAATGAGCTTGCTCTGAATTACAAAGATGATTAGCATTGGTCCTCAAGCTATTTGAAGTAGGAGAAGAGTAAGTACATTTAAAGACAGTCAAACTAGCAAATATTAATATTATTGCTGATAGTAGTGTCTCAAGTTAGCATTACCCAGTGTTTACTGTGAGCCAGAGAATTTTGTAAGTTGTTTTTGTATATTAATCTAACTAATTATTTACAGTCCTGTAAGAAAATTGTGCATCATCATGGTTGAGTTTGACTGAGGAAAGTGAGCAGTTTCAAACAATTACTTTCAGACAAGACTTACCACAAATTTTGGCATGGGGTATAAATTTAGTCAGCTCTCTAGAACAACTTAGGACCATTAATGCTTTGATAACTACAGGAAATAGAAATGGTTCTAAGATAAAGACATTTCTAGCCTGAGATACATTTTCTCATGTACAATTATTTCTTACAATAGAAATAAAACTAATTCTAAATGTCGTCTGTGAGGCAAGCATCATCTCTAGTGTTGAGAAAGAGACTAAAACTTCAAATATTTGTTCTCATTAAGCAAATTTTCAGAT